TTACATTGTATGTAGGGTTAGTCTCTTGTCTTATCCCTTTGTTAATACAAGTATTTCTTCGGTATTACTTGTAATAATCTTTGAATAAAATATTTGAAATAACTTCAAAAATACTTTAGAACATAGTATGTATATTAGTACATCGGCTAATTTAATCATGCTCAGTCTGCGGAGTTTGGAAGATCTAGATGAGCCTTGTATCTAAACTAGCTTTATATTGATATATTATACCTGACTTCAACTTGAACTGTTAGCTTTAAGTAAATATTAAACATTTCAAATCTATTACAAGTACACAAATATTGTCCAAAGATGTTGTTGAATTTCATATGTGTATTGGAGGTTGGGGGTTAACATGTATAAGTATAGTGGGTGTGAATCTGAACTAAACTGTACATATAATATCTGTGTGTATGTTGACGGTGCACATCTTTGTCCACAATTTAATTTCGATTGTAATAAAATGTAACATATAGTTTTATTTACTCTTTATCTTTCAGTTCTGTTTATTCATATATTGTACATTAGGTATATATTGTTTATAATTCTCTACTCTGATCAATAATATAGATGCAATTAAAAAAAAGAATAAACTGTGTGACATCAGTGTTTATTGATAGATAAAGGGGTATGAGCCAGCACCTAAAGGCTGGACACCTACTAAGTAATACCTGTGTACACACACACACACACTGCTGTACCCGTAACAAGCCACATTAACAGGAACACTCCCTACAACCCAGTTAAGGACTGTTACAGAGTGTGACACAGACTTAAATAGCGCTAGGAGTCATAAATAGGTGGCAGGCTTGGTTAAAAGAAAAAAATATTTCTTAAAAATAATAAATTGTTTCAATACTTTTTACAAAGTAAGATTTTATATATAATTATGTAACTTTTTTATAAATTGAATTGATTTATTTAGATCTAAGGGACCCCTTTGGAATTAAGCCACAATGTGGTTTTATGGGTCATCCCAGGTAAAGGCCTAACTTTATCTAATCTAATCCAATCCAGTTTTAACACCTGACTGATTACTAGTTTTATGGCATAATTAACTTATAAATAACGTCTGTGATAATATATATATATATGTCCAATCTGCAAAATGTGATAAACGTGTTTTATTTGCCTTTTTCCTGAATAAATATTATTATTATTATTATTATTATATGTCTATAGATGTATCTGGATATTAATTGATCAGGTTCTAAAAAAAGCAATTATTGTGTAACGTTGTTTCTTATTCATGAGTTTCTGTTTTATATGAGAATCATTAAACGAGTTGATGTTTTCATTAATATGACAACATTCATAAATCACACATGAAAAGTATTTAATTTTTACATCACCAAGACATTTTACGAACATTGTTAAGAAAATGCCTTACCTGCTCAATCTTGTATCCCTTTCACCACTGTAGACCAAAATGGACTCATCCAAATCAATGCATGGACGAGTTAACTCAAGTTACATAGGGGTGAGAGGGTTAAATATTTTTTCATTAGAGATTAGGCCTATCATACCAATACTTTTTTCACCAATCAATGCCCAAAATCTATCAATATTATTCCATTAGAAAAAACGCATTTGAATATATGCATGGCTACCAGTCGGCGAACATGCTGCCGAACATGTTATAGACTTAAGGCCATGTGGTTGTTTACAAGTTACGGTCGAAGTGGCACGCGTGTGGGAAAAGCATCAATGAAAAAACCAAACTCGTAAAATGTATCATATAGGTTTTGAAATACGATGAGCCGTATGAGCTACTTATAACAGTAGGAAAAGACTTACATTGTATGTAGGGTTCATCTGTTGTCTTATCCCTTTGTTAATACAAGTATTTCTTCGGTATTACTTGTAATAATCTTTGTTTTAATAACAATAAAATATTTGAAATAACTTGTTTACAAGTTACGGTCGAAGTTGCACACGTGTGGGAAAAGCATCAATGAAAAAACCAAACTCGTAAAATGTATCATATAGGTTTTCTTATCTCGCCTTCAATGAATTAGAACTTGTTTCTCACAGTATTTCCTTGTAAAAATTACAGAACAAGAGGCCCAATGGGCCTGCATCGCTCTCCTGGTATTAATTTCACACTTGTAATCTTAAAAGTGGACTAAAATACAGCTACAGGCAGAATGTCATTGTTTGATTCATAAGAACCTATTGAAAGATTTAAACATATGACGCCTGTGACCTTGAATGTCGAACAAGGACTTTAGGTTGAACAGAGTGTATAGTCTTCCAACCCAGCATGCTTTTGGTTAAATATAACTACCCTGGACCTTTTGGTTATACAGAACAAATCATTTGAAGATTTAAACATATATTGACCACTGTGACCTTGAATATGGGCGAAGGTCATTCACTTGGTAGTCCTTCATCCAAGCATGTTAATGGCCAAATATCATCATCCTATGCCTCTTGGTTATTCAAAAGAAGTTCTTTTAAAGTTATTTTACATATTTGACCCCTGTGACCTTGAATATATGTCAAGGTCATTCATTTGAACAAACTTGGTAGTCTTTCATCCCAGCATGTTACTGGCATTATCCTAGGCCTCTTGGTTATTCAGAAGAAGTTGTGTAAAGGTTTAAAACATATTCGACCCATGTGACCTTAAAAAAAGATGAAGGTCATTCATTTGAACAAATTTTGTAGCCCTTCATTCCGGAAAGCTACTAGCCAAATATCATCATCCTATGCCTCTTGGTTATTCAAAAGAAGTTCTTTTAAAGGTTTTTAACATATTCAACCCTTGTGACCTTGAATATAAGTCAATGTCGTGCATTTGAACAAGCTTGGTAGCCCTTCATCCGAGCATGTAACTGGTAAAATAGCAACACCTCGTACCTTTTGGGTATTCAGAAGAAGTTGTTAAAAGTTTTTTTTCATTTGGATAAACTCGGTAGTCCTTTATTCCAGCATGCTACTGGCCAAATATCATCATCATCCTAGGCATTTTGATTATTCAAGAGAAGTTGTATTACAGGTTTTCAACATATTTGACCCCTGTGACCTTGAATATAAGTCAAGTTCATTCATTTGGACAAACTCGGCAGTCCTTCATCCCAGCATGCTACAGGTCTAATATCAGTACCCTTGGCCTTTTGGTTATTGAGGAGAATTCGTTTGAAGATTTTCAGACATCAGACCCATGTGACCTTGAAAGTGGGTCAAGGTCATTCATTTGAACAAACTTGGTAGCCCTTCATCCCAGCATGCTACAACCCAATATCAGTACCCTGGGCCTTTTGGTTATTGAGAAGAAGTTGTTTAAAGTAAAATATTGACGACGGACGGACGGACGGACGGACGAACGACGGATGCCGCACCATGGCATAAGCTCGGCCAGGTGGGCTGAAAACGAAAAGGTTAAAATATTTAAAAGGATGTAAAAATACATCAATAACAAAGGAATTGTTTGTAAACTATATCATATACCTTATTGTAAAGATCAACTGAGTGTAAATAGTAATATATTAATAGCACAGAACGTATCAAATAATCTTTTAATATGCTATACATTATAGAATCTGTCACGTATTTGTTTGAAATCAGAGCAATCATAAAGTGTTTGACTGTAAGCTGTTGGATAACATGCATGCATGAGAATAAGGCTGGTCTTCCTGACGTAAATCTTATATCAAAACGTCACGCATAAACACTTTCTGGTTGTAATGCATAATTGTTTTACTATAGACCTTTCTGTTAAACTGTAAATTACATTTACACAAACCGTTTGATTATATTGAATCCTTTACCAGTCCTGAAATAAGTGTTATTTATATAATTGTCTTAGTGACAAATATGCGAACCACTTTGATACAAGTGAGTATTAATTCGAGATATTTGGTAATACAATAAACTGCATCAATTCAAGATCACCAGAGTATAAACCCTCCCGGGAAATACATCGGAAAATATAAAAAATAGTCAAACCTCGTTATCTCGAACTCTTTTAACACGAAGACACCGTTTATCTCGAAGAATTTATCCGGTCCCGGCCAAACCTCTTCTTTATCTTAGTAAAGAACACTCTGATAATTCGAACCCTGAAAAGTCGAAAACCTCGGGCACCTCGAAGTAAGACATTGGTTTCGATGGCGTAAATCCAACATCAAAACATCGTCTACTGCATAGTGTTCGAATTTTATTCACTTTTTAATTCTTTAATACAAATAAAACGCAAAAGTACGCCATTTCGTGTTTATGAAACTTTTTCGTGAGTAGACTAGCATGACATCGGTATTATATATTATTATATGTGCATTAACATCAGATCAACAGACAATAAACCCTACCGAGAAATACATCGTAAAATATTTTGATAAATTCTCAAAATAGTCGAACCAAGGTATATGTACATAGCCCTTGTTTATTTTTATCTGCTGGCCGTATCCCATTGTCGTATCCCCTTGTCGTATCCCCTGTGGTTACTTAGACCATGTTATCTGGATCGACAGGTGCAACTTGAAGTAGCGATACAGGAACGTCACTTTATCTTGACCATGTCCTGCCCGGCCATCTTAAAGCCGCACGATCTATCGTTGTGAAAAATATACTAAAACAAAGCGTTTTTTTACCATATTGGAAACCACGTGATCTTTTCTCGTTTTTCTACCCCATATTTGTTTCCTCGGGTTAGACGAAATAATACCATTCATTAATTCGATAAAGTATATCAAGTAATTAATTTTCCATATTTTTACGTTAGATGCCTCTTTCATTTGCTGTTTTGACAGACTATGTAGCTTTAAGAAGAGTTCAAATGACCAAGCAATGCAAAACGAACGTAAGATTTTATAAACAACGTAGAAACAAGGTAAGTGTTCGTATAACCATAGGTGTAGTTTGGGTTCGTAGTCAGGAACTGATGCTTTAGTTGCCATGGTTACATGTTTATAAATAATAGAATTCGTTATTAGATGTTCAGCGGCTCATGAGAAATACGAACAATGTATATAATCTCTGTATACTTTTGACTCCAGCGTAAAACGAAAGACAGAACGAACCAGGCATAATCAACGGAGTGAGAAGTGGGGGTACGAGACATAAAGCTGATAGAAGGTAAAAGCATTCATTAAAGATTTTATAAACCGATTGATTGAAAATGTCAGAAAACATATTTTAAATGAAGCTGTTTTATTGTTTTTTCAAAGTTTTACTTTTTACACAAACAATGAATGTATTAAACGTGTCGCAACGTCTCAAGGCCGATTGGTCCATTTATCAAGCTATGACCAATCTGTTAGAGATATTCTATATAATTGATTCACTACCGTTATAATTTTATAACACAAGTAACTCACAGAATTGACAAAATTTCTCGGTTTTCGAAAAGAAAGGATATTGTAAATAATATTGAAATAATAGATAGTTTTTATGAAACTTTGTTTTTCTTGTGAAATATTGATATAATGTCCATCGTTTAATTTAGCTCGTCGTATCCCGTCAGCTTATTTCATTATCTTTATAATAAACCATATATATTTTTGTATTATTTATGTATCCTTATAAACATACATTTGACCTTGACCTTTACCATAAGATAAATTGAGGTTCCATAATAGTTTTGATTGGTTATAATGTAACTTTTTTGTATATCGCAAAAATATCGCTGGTCATATGATTTCAGTACAGCGAGATTTTACAGTTGATTCATTGTATAGGCTACATACATACTGCAAAAGTAGTTCCATTCATTTTAGCGGCGACGATATTGTCGCGTTTTCCACGTTAATTCTTACTTTGATTATAATTACATTTTTTCATTTATATATGTAATATTATAGATAATAATTCGTTTATGAAAAGTTAATCTCAATAATGCAATTAAACAACTTTTCACTGATATGCATAAGTATAATTACATAAATACTTTTGAATATGATGATAGTCAGTGGGAAATAATATGTAAAATATCGATTGTGGCGCCACAATTAAACTGATGATGTCATGAAATGTAAAACAAAATCAACGCTTTTGTGTTCATTTAAATTTGTCGTATCAGGATTTTTGTGACCTATCAAGTCTCAGTTTTTGTCTTTCTTTCTAGTTCATACATGTATGTCTGACGGTACACAATAACTTCCCACAATGCAACTTTTTGAACTCCTCGTGCTGTTTTTCCTAGGACCATTATTTAGCAACGGTGAGTAAATGTATGTATTATATCTGGTACTGTTAATTTCGACAACAAGCTGGAGTCACTTCATGAATTTTACTGATCTATAAATGTCGAATGTATTTATTTAAATTGTAGGCACATGTGTATCGGTAATTTCCGCTCTTTACTTTTTTTTAATATTTGGAGTATACATACAAGCTGAAGAAAGCCTGAAACATTTATTAAATGTCTTGCAGATGCAATATTTCAATTACAGCACAATTTAACAACTTCATGTCACAAATGTTAAACGGAGGCACCGGAAGTGCATCCGCCACGACCGGAAGTGATGGGTGTTCGGGAGCGAGTGTGTCGTGTCTTCCTGCGCCTTGGTGCAGACGGACGACAGACGATCGAGGATGTAACAAGTGTGACTGTGGCAGATTAGGTAAACACGCAGGGTATATAAACCCGTTTTACCCCTGTGTTTTTCAGTGCTACATTTAATTTATTTCAAACACAATGGTGTGTTGTAAAGGAAGCTACCTTTTAATACGGATACATTGAAGTCCACAAGATGTGTTTGTGGGATGCAATGGCCGTACACATATTATCAATAACTGAAACGCGTCTGCCTATGAAAAAATACTTTCCTTTAGAATATAAAAAATAGTTAATGTTAACAATAATGCATTTTTTCTTAATTATCTGGAATGCTTTCACGTTTTCCATTCCACAGGCAATACACAGGAAAAGAGTAACGGAACTTCCCCTGTTACCGACCATCGCCAACAGGCGGCGCCACAATCTTTCAGTTCATTCATTAGTATGTTAAAAGGCGCACACGGACCAGGCAATAGCGCAAACTCGGGCGCAGGATTTCAATCTATGTCGGGTATGCACCCTGGCTTTGGTAAGCGTTTACGTAATCTTTCTTCGATATTATTCGTAATAACTGAAAGAACGAAATGACTGATAAATAGACACTCGAACGCATGCTGGAATATTTCATTTCAACATAATTTATTGACAAAATATTTAATAATGTTAAAAGGTTTGGACAGCCAGTTAAAAAGCATCCCCTTTCTTTCCCTTGACGGCATACTGATGTAAAGACATATTTTGAAGTGTTCATAGTATAAAGTTATTATGATACTTCATAATATTTCATACAGACAGAATAACATTTTGTGAAATAACGATGAAACTGGGTTCTAAGAACGCATTTCGATCATTCTAGCATCAAAGCATAAACGCATTTATAGAAAATTCTGCTATAAAAATTGAAAATGTCAATATTCGACATTGTGAAAGGGCGATCATTGTAAGCTTCAGCATTAAATCTTATATAAACATATTTGCTTTAAAATGAGAAAATGATGTGAGGTAAGGAACGAGCAAGCGAGAACAGAAGTACCGCTAGTAGGTAATGAGGTCGGCACTGTGCATCATCCTAGTAATTTACAAAACATCACTTACATTAGCTTCAAACACCTTGTTACTCAACAAATGAGTGTGTAAACATTGTTCGTATTGTAAACAATACCTATTTTACATACATGATTTAAAAATTATGGAAAGCTGTCTACATCCAGCTGAGGCAAGTATCCATCTGATGTTTAGTGAAATAAATGATAGAAAAAAAATCCATACAATGTTGTGTTTATTACTTAACCGTCAAATCTCAATAAATATTCCTTTTTGTCCTTATAAAGAAAAACCTCGACAGAATGCCAGTTGTTTACCCTTTCAGAAACCCTTGCAAGACAAATGTCCTCCTCTCACAACTGTGCAGTAAAACCGCCGTGTATTACCCTGCATTGTTTTTTCCATAACGACCAATGGTTATCACTATACAATAAATCTTCGATATAAAACCCTGCTTCTGACATGACTTCGATGATCCGACATTAATTAGACAAAAGTAAAATACATAAACATACAAAAACATTTATAATCCGTGATAGCGGAGCTCGTAACAAAAAACTTCTCTTTATACTTTGAAGGAGGTTCACAGATGGGCCCTATGAATCCTATGGCATCTATGTTCGGAACAAATAGCATGTTCGGTGGAGGAGTACTAGCTGGAAGTATGAGTGGCGCCGGAGGAGTTCCAAATATTCCGCATGGCCCGGTAGACACGAGCGGAACCGGAAGTGAATGCGGTACCGCCCCTTACACCTGCATGGCACCGCCTCCCTGGTGTCAGAGATTGGTGAACTCGAAAGGGTGTGTTAAGTGTTACTGTGGTCAAGGTGAGTTGTAAATATATAAATCATAAAACGATATTGTAGACAGTAGGACTGCATCAATACATAAACATGACAATACGTATTAAGATAGTGTGTTCACGATACGATACATACCAAGATACGTACACAGAAGCAAAGCGAAGCCATATATTGCATTTTTTAGTGGTAATATATCAACTAGAAAAAGACTTGATCCATAATGGGCCTAACTTTAAATTTTCATACGATTCACTTCTTTCGATGTGCATGCCGAGCTGGAGCTGTCACTTACCATGTTTGAACAGTTATGAGTAGACTAAATTCAGAAACGACAAAATCCAGAAAATGTCGTAGGTGTTCTCCCTAAATATATTGTGTATCGCACCGTATTCAAAATATCACGATATATCATTGCAGCCCTAGTACACCAGAGTATTAATCTGTGACACGCCCCTTAACATACCACGTGGTAAAAGGTCAACACATTACTAAGGTTACAGTACCAAAAATGGATCACCAAACCATCATTTTCTTCATTCATTGAAAATGCAGCGGATGAATTATATTTATAGTTTATGGTCGTGTCAAAAGAGGAATATCGATGTGTGTTCTTATCGACGAAATAAACACCCAGGGCTCACGTGAGATATTTATAGAACACTCTTACGTCACCAATTAGCGTTTTGTACCCAAAACAGATCACGGCTTGAATTTTGCAATATTTTGCACTTCAAATGAACATTTCTCTGATATAATTTCAACATTTTCTGATGATCTTTGGAATCGGTTTGAAAACAAAGATTTCTAGAAACAATATACATAATCATTGTACGCGCCATTTTTTAACAACGTAAACAAAAAACTAAATTTTGAAATACGTCTTCTGATGCTACTTTTACTTAAAAATTAAGCATCCCCAGACAAACAATGATGCTTAACTATGTTTTAAATTATAAATCATTGTAATAACTTAAGTATTTTTGCAAAGAGTGATCCGATTTGGGTCCTGCCTCCTTATATAATGTTTGGAGTGATGTCCCTTTAGTTTCGTTTATTTGACAAACCACGCCAAATGTATTGTTCGGCAAGCAACATATTTAAAAGAAAGACTGAGAATTATGTTTTCATAATGTAGATGTATGTATTGAACAGTGTGTTATTAGTGGCATGTGAACAATCGTGGCAAACATACAATGACTGAATATAGCATCCGTCAATCTCCAATATTTGGCCAGTAGCATGCTGGAATAAAGGGCTACCAAGTTTGTTCAAATGAATGACCCTTCATTTATTTTCAAGGTTAAAGGGGTCAAATATGTTTAAAACTTTTAAATAACTTCTTCTGAATAACCAAGAGGCCTAGGGTGATGCTATTTGGCCATTAAAATGCTTGGATAAAGGGCTACTATGTTTGTTCAAATGAATGACCTTGGCGTATATTCAAGGTCACAGGGATGAAATATGTTTAAAATTTGTACACGGCTTCTTCTGAATAACCATGAGGCACAGGGTGCTGCTATTTGGCCGGTAACATGCTTGGATGAAGGGCTACCAAGTTGTTTCACTCATTTTCAAGGTCACAGGGGTCAAATATATTGAATTTTTTAAATAATTTCTGAATAACCTAAAGGTCCAGAGTAATGATATTTGGCCAGAAGCATGCTTGGTTGAAAGGCTATCAACGTCTGCTCAACTTAATGTCCTACTTCGATTTTCAGGGTCATATATGTCATATGTTTAAATCTTTTAATAGATTCTTTTGAATCAAACACTGTTATTTTGCCTGTAGCTATATTTTAGTCCTTTTTTAGATTACAGGTGTGAGATTATTACCAGGTGAGCGATTCAGGTCCATTGGACCTCTTGTTGCTGTGTGTTGTTTACGCTTTCAAATTGCATTCATGTGACCTATGAACGCCTTGGCCCACGTGTTGATAGGGTCATTTTTGTGTCATCATAACTACACTGTTTAATACCAGTGAACATTCCAGGAATGTGCAGGGAATATACGTGCTTAATATAATTATTTAAATTTCTACGCGACACACAAACGTATTTGATCTCATTTGTTTATTTTAAATCAATACATTTGATTTACTATGAAATTGAAAAAAAATGAAAAATGGTAATTATTCAACAGCTTCAGTTAGCATTCAACGAAAAAATGAATCCCAACTGTCACGTGACAAATTCAAATTGAAGCGCTAACGCCCTTCATATATGTAATAGATGTACGTTCAAGTCGGCATTCACACCGACTATGCCAACTGGAAGCAGTTCAATGCCTAAGTGATTAAAAGTGAAAAGGTCTTTATAGACAAGTGGTTTGTATAAGCAGGTCTTAGATAAATAATTAATAATAACATACAACATTTGATATAGCTAACATAAGCCACTCTAAAGCGCTTTACATTACATAGATATACGTCATATACATTAACCAATACATTTTTTGAGGAATTCGCAGGAGCTGCCTTATCAGGCCCTTACTACTAGTCCTATGCCACCTTTCTAATATTTCCTTATGCGTGTATGCCTGCGTGTGTGCTGGAGATGTAATGTGTTCTGTTGGTAGTGAAACCGTGCTTCTAGCGGTATCATTTATAGTGCCACCTCACTTGAATGCTATAGCACAGATACCGCAACAACCTAGACCAATGTATACTCCACTTGGGTTGTTGGAGTTATACCCATAGCATCAACATACAAACTAGTTTTAGGGTCGTAGATATAGACAAGTGGTCTTTAAGCCAGATTTCACAAAGAAGGGATGCATTTCTGACGTTTTTTGTACATCTACACGAAAATAGCTCTCGTTTGCTACCTTTTGTACCTTTAATTGGTAATAAACGGTATTTCCCGTGTCTGATTACAACTAACATTCCATGACAATTAACGTTACTGATGTTCGGTTGAAAACGGACTAACAATAAATCTAACGTTGTTTTTCTTTGACAGCTTAAGCTGTCTCTAGAGTCATCCGGAATATGTACACCATGTTTGACTCGAGTTATGACATGTTACTAGAAAAGCTAGGTCCGAGACGAAATACTGTCATACAGGAAATGCTTTATTCATTGAGTTTATAACTCTGGATTATTGATAACAATTGTAATTGCTTAAGAGCTAACAAAATTCGAAAACCACATATGACATTACATTTACACCTTCCTTCCCCGTCGGAAGGCAGTAGAAACAGCAAACAGGAAATAGCAAAAATTTAATTATTTGTAAAATTGTAAACAATCGTGTTGTAAACATTTTCTCTTGATGACGAATTTATTGATTACAGAGCTAACAAAATTCCTACAGACTTTGAATGCCATAACGGACAACCCGGAACTGACATCACATTCCTCCGAAAGTACAGTGGATACCTCCACAGGAACTACTCTTTCCGCCATTTTGAGATCGACCCAATCTATTACTATGACAACGGCTAGACCTCCTCTTGGAAAACCGTGCCTAGCAACCTTTATGTGCACGCTGTCATGTGACACCGGCTACCAGACTGACGACAACGCATGCCCAGTATGCGCGTGCATGGACGACCATGTTATTCTTTCTCATGGTAAGATATCACTATCAAACAATATTTTAACAAAGTGACCTGTACAGTTAAATCCTTTTCTGAAATATTCTTTAAAAATATATTTAAATACAATCTGATTAAACCTCAGATTTTGTTTGAGCCTGATTTTAAAACAACGGTGATTTTTTCCGAAAAGTCCTCATATAATTGAATTTAATAATACTGATACCACTTTTATCTAAATCAAGTGTAAAGTTATTGAAGGTTTATTTGTTTCTTTAAAGAAAAATTAATAGAAATGATTTTGCGCAAACAATTCGCGCTTGAATTTCGTCACCGACTAACTTCAATCTACAAGAAGTTAGCATTACAAACAGGCCGCCAAACACTGCGGTTGACAACATCATCATTTTCGCTAAAGCAAAACGCTACAAATTATACATCTAAAGTATTCGCAAAGGGATAATTTCCACATGGCCAAAGTTTGAATTGTCTGAGCGCTGACATATGCACATTCCTATGCTAATTTTTACATTGAATATCTCTAACTGTTCGTCTTTCTAAAGAACTTTGACACAAAGAGATTTGACCGCATATAAACAGTAGACCATTTAATTCCAGACCAAACAACTGTAGCTGACCTACCGCCTGTGGTCCAAAGTTCGACTCCGGTCCAAAAAAATGGGATTATTATGTGCCCCGGTATTTTTGACTGCGACACTGTCTGCATGACAGGCTATCAGACAGATGCGAACGGCTGTCCCATTTGTCAGTGTGAAAATGACTGACCAATCAGCAGTCGTGATACAATATTGTGACAAGAGACATTCTAAGTATATGTTATTTAGTGTATGTAAAGAAAATCAATATATATGTCGTAATTATTTATTAATAAAAAAGAAATAACCTGGTTTTGTTTATCCGGCGTACCTTATTGCATATGAACCACTTATTATCATACTATATATAAGATCTTACATGTTTCCATTTCATATGATATTTATGAAACGAGCCTAAGAATTATTGATCAAGCGAGCCTCTGGCGAGCTTAAATGAAACATTCGTAATTTCATAAATAATAAATAACAATAAATATACAACATTTAATATAGCGCCCTATCTAAATAACATAAGCTACTCTAAAGCGCTTTACAGTACATAGATATACAATTAATACAATTAGCATATACATTAATCAACACAAGTTTGAGGAATTCGCAGAAGCTGCATTATCAGGTGCTAACTACTGGTCCTATGCCACCTGGTTAATATCTCCATATGTGTATATGCCTGCGTTTGTGCTGGATATGTAATGTGTTCTGTTTGTAGTGGAACCGTGCTTCCAACGGTATAATTTATAGTGCCACCTCACGTGAATGCTACAGCACAGATACCGCAACACCCACCCCAGACCAATGTATACTCCACCTGGGTTGTTGGAGTTGTGTGGGCAGGAGGAACACACTTTTCTCTGAAGATCGACGCCCAGCTGGCTGCGTGGAAGGCCGGAGTGTTATCCACTCGACCAATGAAACATATGTGTGAACTCTATAAAATAATCTAAACATACACTGTCATCTTAATTCTAAACTGAACCACCCAAATAAATAATTAGATTACTCTTTTATTTTCGGTGCCCCAAAAATTGAAATTTCCAGTTTGTATAATTTTGAGATAAAATGCAACCACAAACATGACCGACTATACGATTTTGGGGCTAAAATAAGGCAGAGTGTTTAGTTAGTTGTGGCGTCACATCCTTCTACGCGTAACACAGTGCTCGGTTCCCCCCTCTGCCTTTGCAGAAGGTCATAAAGTATCCATTCCTCAACAACCAACATGTTTTAATTAACCTTTCACGATTACAGGTGACGTAACACATAGTCCACCTCCATGTTACATAACTCACCGCTCACAATGAACTTCACTTCCAAGATCATGTACAACATTAGCCAAATTTTCTCATAATCTTGAGTGTTTGCTGTGAACAAAATAGTTAGATATGATAATGACAAAACAGAGAAATGGAGGGTAAATCAGAACAGTGCCGTTCCTGTGTTTTATATGTGTTAATTTAAAGCCAGGGGTTTGTTGCATAATAAGATTACCTTCAGAGGTCCAGAGATATTAAACCGCCTGTCCGCTAAAAACGACTCTTCTATCAGGAGGAAACCTGGCCTAATGTTCTTTTGGAAATTCAATGTTAACTTTTAGAAATGTAAAGTTTTTGCCAAACCTGAGTTACATAATTATACAGCAAGCTCATTTCATTCATAAGAAGTTGAAGCTTATTCTCCCCACCATTTATGATGATATGAACGGTGAAATGATGGCCTCATTACACCTATAACAACATTGTGTATATACTTAATTGCTGAAAATGGTAATTGGATTTTAATTATTCTGTCTTTATTTTAACAGAAAAAAAATATATAGAAATATTTTAAAAGGTGGTCTCACTGAGGCTTTAACACTGCAAAGGGAGGTAATTCCTGAAATTTATATTTGCTTTTGGGCAAGTTTGCATTGTATTTAAATTATATTTAAGGACAAGCTAATACTAACTAATATTCTTAAGAAATGAGTGTAAGATTCTGTTTTTCTTTGATGATCAAGATTTGTATCATTTATCGTGTAAAACGACAATTTTCGTGCAACCTTGAAATGTAAAAAGCCGCCATTTTGACTCCAGTGCGTAAGTCTGTGAGGTCATGTAATTTTCCTAGGCGTGACGTCACAATTGAAACCTAAACTAATCATTGGGCTGATGGGTCATACACATGTATTACATTACATTACGCAAACAAAATATGACATGGGTATATTCACTGGATAACACAGTACATTATATGATAAACTAACGAATCAGAAAGCACGAGTTTAATAAAGCGGACGAATATATTCACGAGTGCGCGGAGCGCACGAGTGAATATATACGTCCGCGCACAAAATGAGTGCTTTCTGATTCGTTAGAAAAACACAAGTGTGTGGTCTTGCTTTGATCATATACCTTCCGTATTTGGTAGAGATCGATACAAAGATTTAATAAACTTTGCTCGCCACGACAAGGGAATTCCCCTAAAAAGTAGTTCCGGCTAGTATGTTGATACAACATCTGAATCACACATGTGTGATACAAACCAACTGAAAACATCAACAGAAAATTGTTGTATTACTATTGTAAGATTACATAGGTATGTGATAAATTGATTTATTAAAATAAATTCTGAAGTGATCAAAATAAAATAAACTAAAACTACAGAATCGTTTAAGGTGAAAGTATGTCAAAATATTCAATGTGAGAAGTTCGGAGTAAAACTAGTGACCCATTAACCGTATCTTTGTGAGTATGCAGTTTAAAAGCTACTTTTAAGACATAGGTTTGAAACAGGGTAAGGCCCCAAAGGGAAAATTAATCAATATTTCAAAAATCTTGTTCTTCAGGCTCAGAGGCACTACAGTCAATTTCTCTACATGGATGGAAAGACCATCAAGGGCTTTATGTAAAATGTAAATTTCAGTACCCTCAAGTTTACTATAGTTTATATAGGGAAATAACACTTTTTGGTATATTTTGTCAATTTTCAGTAGGAAATTATTCTCACCTGGTGATAATCATCCTTGGAGGAAGATGGTATCAAATTGTAAAATTGGGATTACTGCCCCAAACCCAGGGACCAGGGCGAGGCCCCAAAGAGAAAATTAACCAATATTTCAAAAATCTTCTACTTGAGACTTAGAGGTACTACAGTCAATTTATCTGCATGGATGGAAATATCATCCGGGGTTTTATGTAAATTGTCAATTTCAGTTCCCCCGGGCTATCCGTTCTCCCTTGGGGAGGGGGTCAAGTTTACTATAGTTTATATAGGGAAATAACACTTTTGGGTATATTTTGACAATTTTTAGCTGGAAATTATTAATACTTGGTTAGAATGATTATGATGCCAGATGGCAATTAGATTGTATGAGAAAATCATATGCTGCCCCACCCCAGGGGCTGGAGGGGTGGGGCCCGAATGGGGTAAATGGTTAAAAGTTCAAAAAGCTTCTTCATCAGACTCAGATGTGTTACAAACAAATACTCTTCATGGATAGGAAGGTCCTTAGGTGCATGATCGATTTGTGAAAAAATAAGATCCGTCCTTGCCCCAGGACCTGGAGGGGTGGGGCCAAAAAGGGGAGAAATGGCTGATATTTTTAAAAAAATCTGCACTCAGATGGTAGAAGATTCAAATTTCTTTTTTTGGATGGAAATGCCCTTAGGTGTATTATATAAACTGTTAGTTATATTACCCTTTGGTCATCTGTTCTCCTTGGTTTGTATAGGGAAATGACACTTCTGACTATATCTTGTTCATTTTCAGCAAGAAATAATTCAACTTGGTTGGAATAGTTATAATGAAATTGAAATCAAATAGTATCAGAAACTAAGATCCTGTCCTATCCCAGGGGTTGGCCAGAGACGGAAATTGGCTAATTAATCATAGATATTATATTTCTAAATAGCAAAAGATGTATTTGAATAGTTTTTAGAGTTCTTATCCTATGGTGACATGCCGATTATTGTATTTCACTTTGTTTACATATTGATTTCCACATCACATCTTAATAATGAAATTGAGCTACCAGTACCTATGATATAACTCAGGTGACCGCTACGGCCCTTGGGCCTCTTGTTTATTAAAACACCAGTTTCCGTGAACACAATGTGTGTTTTCGATACAAAGGTTACGCACAACAGTCCTTTTATGTACATTGCAAGATCTCGCGGAACACCACACAAACGTACAAAAGAAGTAAGGACTTCGGGAAGGCTGTTAAGAGGTACGCTTACTCTCTAGGGAGGCTTCATCAGAATACAAGCGATTCCACACAATAACACATTCCATATACCAGTATACGTGTCATCAGTACATGGAACAGTGTCTTGCATGCGTCTACGGTTTGAAACTGACGGGTGTCGTGGAGACAAAAGAACTGAGAAGACACAAAAGTAAAATAATAGACAACAACATACAGGCCTGGTTTAAAGCTTAGGATGATAAATAAGATCGGCGTGGTCAATAAATGTATTGTTATTCAAAGACAGCACATTGTCGATATCTGTGATTGAGAACATGACGAACTTGGCTAGGTTTTGATTCCAGTCTTGATAAGCTCATCAATAAATTCAGCTTCATATCAAAACAAAACAAGAGGAGGGGCCATGAGGGTGTATGGCTAAACTGTGAAAAGGTTTGTCAAGTCCATATGTATGACGATGTACAATATAGTTGATTTAAGTCAACAGAATTAACTATGGCCTGTTTTGACCAAAGTCTGTAAGTACAGTTAGTTAACAGAGTCATACGCCTTAACTCATTCTAGCATACTTATATTATATTATTAAACTATCTGCATTAACAATAATGACACACAGATAAACTTTGTTATCAACGGTAAGCTTGGAAACCTGCTGTAATATGATATTCATTATGACACACATATCCGACGGAATAAAATTGACACAATTCCATATCTGACGACAATACATTTACTATTTTTAGAATGCTTCTTGTATAACCATTAATTTGAGGATATGATCCGAACACTTCATTGTTTAATATTTCGGCAAACTTCACAAACGTAATGCAGTTTTAAACAATATGATATTATTGTTTCTGCAAGTGCGATAACGGATGTGTTACCCATTAGGGACCACACTAGGTTAGGGAAGGTCATTTAGACTATAACTTATCTCCCTGGACTTGATCTAGTCAACCTTAGAAGCTTTAAAAAGTTTATCTGTGCCGTATTTAGACGATGACGTCACATTGCACTTGTTAACATAAGATAAGGTCGCAATGCCGCGATGAGGTACGATAAGGGGAGGTGACTCTAAACCTAAGTGATGATAAAACATACGTCCATCGCTACTCCACATATGGGTTTACCCAAAGATACATTTATTTGCGGCTGAAATATTTCAATAATAAATAACTCGGTTTACCTCTAGATTATTGGTAAATGATATATTAATAAGTAATCGTTCGATATCCCTCGGTCTTTGACCCAGAAATGTACTGGTTAAACTATTCACTGTTTACGCTGTCTTGAACTCGCAATATCAATGACGCATGTATCGTTGTACGTCTGTTGGCCGTCCCTGCAGGAATAAGAATGAAAATGAAATTCGGCCATTTATTGGAATCATGGTTTATTTTATCGATCTGTATCCTTATAGGTGAGTATGTTTCTTTTTATTTATATAATATTTATGGGTTGTTTTTTTATAAAATTGTTTCTGGAAATCTATCTTAAAAGATTGAATAACTAATAACGATTTCCTTTATGTTTCAATTATTTTCAAATATAATTTGGCAGGAATTTATTTTTCAGTCTTTCCACATATTTGAATGTTATTTTCTTGATTAATGTCCTAATAAATGTAATGCTACAATACTTTTTTATATTGTGAAAATGCTGAAACATTTTAGAAAGCTAACCTTTCATAACTGGCACCTATTACGGAGTTTTAGCTAAGGAACAACTTTTTGCATATATATTTAATTTGGCGATACAAGCAATATGAATTTGTAATTTTAATAAAAAATAATAACTTTTTCTTTTAATTCTGATTTATGAAAGCACTTAGAAAACGACGTTTGGCATTTTTTAATACATTCGAGCATGGATGTCTTCTTTAAAATTTATTTTATTTCTTGATAAATGGTCTTTTTGTGACTATTTCATATCTTCATATTTAGATTTTTTGTTTTATTGTGATTTTGAATTATGATATATCTGACAGTTCGATATTCTCTCCTATTTGTTTTGGACAAGATGAGTTTTCACCATTGTATGTCTATATATATTACCAAAACTTGCATTTTCAGTTGGTGGTGCTTTAATGAAAGAGTTACAGAAACGTGTATTTCGTCCCGATATTATTCGGACTTAAAATAAGCTGTAAAGCACGATTAGTTTCATTGCCATTTGAAAACTTTATCTTAATGAATTAACATAAATTGATATTGCCATTGAGTTAAGCTATTAGTATTTTCTATCTTTAAGGGAAATCTGAATAGTCATCGTCAAATTGAGAGAGCTTTAAGTGGTCTGGATACTTCAATATTCTTGCAATGCAATTATTCCGATAAAATATTTTGAAAAATCTATATCGTAATTTAGTAAGTCTGCAATAATTAAATTTTGATTACTCAATATTACACAACAGGTCAATAATTATTTCTTTTTAAAATTTGGTCCATTTATTTATTTTCAATATTTTCTTGCTCCCGAAGAGGTGAAACTGTGTTTACTCTTTATTAAATTCTGTTGACTTTTTGCTTATTTTCTTATTCCGTCTTTGCGTATTGCAGAGTTATCTTCTCTTGGGAGCAGGTATTGATTGTTACGTCATTGGTTTGTGTGAGAAAATGACGTCGTTTTCTCAAAAATTGATGACGTTACTCTCACAAACAAGTGACGTAACAATCAATACCTGCTCCCAAGAGAAGATAACTCTGCAATACGCAAAGACGGAATATAAATATTACGCATCGTTAGCTATGCATGTTTATTTGTCGAAGACATTTTAGTTTTGCCTCGGTGAAAAGTAGTACAAATTGTCGACTGCCTTTACAGTTCATATCTGACAAGCGAAACTCTGCCAGAGATTTCAATTTAATCTAGCCGGAAGGTTCGCAAAAAATGTCCTCCCATCTATTGATGTTTATTTAAACATTTAAACGTGGTAATAACACTTAACAAAACAGTATTTAGGTTATTCAATTATTTTTAACCACCTGTACGAAATAACCAGTTTGTCAAATATGCTATTTATTGAATACAAAACAATTGTGACAACGGAATTTTGGCGTTATAAAATGGTTCGACGATATAACGAAAGAGACATATAAAAGAATCTTAAGGGAATACAAATAGAAAAAAAAGAACATTGAATTTCGCTGGTGGTAAACCAAATGCCAAATGGTGAATATAATGAAGGCGTTATAACGTGATTTTATTAAATGGCGATCGACAAGGAGAGTATTTTAAGATTTAATGTATATTTGTACTGTAAAAACTGTCACTATAGAAAACAGGAACCTGACATCCGGATTAAGATTCATCATAACATCACAGAATTAATCTTGGTTAGGAGGGAAGGGGATTCGATGAACAGAGACGAAGGGGGTCACCAGCTGGGCCATCTGTATGAACCCAATTTAACATCCATTAATGGGCGCAATGGTTAAACATGTCATCCGTCTCCCTGCCTGCCTGCAGTTTAAGAGTGCTATTGGGAGAAATGTCTCTATAATTTTGGACAGCTGGCTTAACTGATTCGGCCCAATGTGGCTTAGTCAGGTGTTTTTAATGATTTAGAGTTGAGACACCGGTCATATACACTCTTTGCTTAACTGATTCGGCCCAATGTGGCTTAGTCAGGTGTTTTTAATGATTAAGAGTTGAGACACCGGTCATATACACTCTTTGCTTGACAAAGGAAACAGAAGTTTCCGAAAGCTCGCAAAATAACTTTTCAATTTCCGTTTGTGTCGAAACAAACTTAGTCTTTTTATAGTCCTGATATGAGTGAAATGAAAACCTATTTTAGACCTGTGTTAATTGTAGACTTATGAAGACGAATTATTTTATTTTCTTGTATTTTATTTTCTGCTTTTAACCAACAGAGTGTTATCCCGAGAAACGGTTCCTTATATCGTCTAGCGACAAAGAAAGGCTGTTCTGCTTTCCACCAATCAGCTACTGTCATTTACAATGTACGAATGGATATTTAAATAATCCCACTGGATGCCCTATTTGCCAGTGTCGATCTCAGACTCAAGGTACGTTTATTTTTAATTTTTAATTGGAATATGTATTTCACTACTTTTTCACAGACTTCTTAAATTCAAGCGCAGGTGTGATATACGTTATAAAATATTGGAGTTTGTCACAAACAACCATTGTTTGACTTGTGACATTCCCATGACTACTTTTGACGTTTCCATGACTACTTGTGACGTACATTCTGTTAACTTCGTGTGGAGAATTATAACTCTATTCTAAGTCGTTCTGTGGGTTCTTAAGACTTTAAAATCGTAACCTACAAACCAGAATTGTATATGTTAACGTATAACTCTTTAAAAACGATATAACCGTGTTTGAAAAAGGTAGCATGTATACTTCAATGTTGCTTGTACTTTTTAAAATGAATTTTCAACATTTTCAGTCTCAACTGGTATGCCTACTAACTCAATGTCATATCAAACACAGGCCCCTCAGAGTTATGTTCCCCAGTCAATGTCATCCGGGTCATTACCATCTGGGCCACTTTCATCCGGGTACAATATGTTCAGCAACCCGTGTCAGCCACAACAGATGTTTTGTTCCCTCACGTGTCCAAACGGCTTCCTCACCGGAAATAATGGTTGTCACTTCTGCTTCTGCGCCTCAGCGCCCCAAGGTAAACTTCCGGTTGCTGTTCTTAACAGGGCGCATGATTAATGCTAAAACTAAAGGAGTAAATCATTTATATCCATTTGTAAGCTTCAACATTGCTTAATTTCAGGCATTCATCAAGATGAAAAAAAATCCTTTCTTATTTGCCCAGATCTGACACAATCACTGCAAATAAATTGGCTTACGAATCATTGCTGCTATTTTACAAGGAAGTGTCTAACTATATTTCATATTTAATTACTTCTCTGTGAATTCAACTACAATCAGTAAGTTGCAAGCTACTTTTTATCAACAGTACACTGGCAAACTTGTGTTAGGGAAACTGGCTTTACTTCTTCACCATCAACCCATCTCCTATCGTATATAAACTGTTTACTTTTCAATATTTTTCTGTGTTATTTCAATAAACATCATAAACAGACTATAACGAAGTGTGAACTGTTGATGAGTACACTGAACCTCCTCGTGTTTGAAACAGGGACGAAAGCTCCACCTACAACAACATCCGGGCCTCTCACCATCCTGAACAACCCATGCGTGGCCAGTCAGCACCACTGTGGGCTTCAGTGTAACTATGGTTACCTGAAGGGTCCCACTAACTGTAACTACTGTTTGTGTGCTCCTCCTGGCCTCGTTATCACCGTCAACACTACAGGTAATACGTGCCATTGTACCTTTCATTTTGAATAAGGATATCGTTATGTGATCTTTAGTTGCATATAACTTCGCTAACCAACGACATATATTATTTTATTTTTTATTTCGTTCGTGGTAGAATAACTACACTTAATATTTTTGATGCAAGAATGTTTGAATTCAGCAAAATAAAATATGTTTTCCTCTCTCTTTACCTAGCTTTGATGAAAGAGTCTTCCCTAAGCTTAACCATATTTAAGCAATCAAGTATGCGTCCAGTATGATATTTTTAAATTGTCCTGTCATATACTTTCAGTGGCTCCAACGTCGACAACTCAGCTTACAAGCCCGACCCCTACTGGTGTCATCCTCCCCGACCCCTGTGTCCCAAGCCAGTCCTCATGCGCGATGCAATGCGCAAATGGGTTCGTTAAAGGCCCACAGGACTGTCAGTACTGCCTGTGCGCGCCCTCTACTGTCGCGACCACAACTACCACTAGTAGTCCAACAAGCATATCAGCTCACGCAAAACGTATGTCTGTGGATGTTATTTGTTGAAATCGTATGTAAATGTACATGTAGTATTATCTGGTTGTGTCCTAGTAAAACTCTTGGGACGTGTCTCCTGCAATAAAAACACAGCAACAGAACAACACTGAGGTGCCAACAAAACCATAATTTGAACTCAAAAAAGATAAAACTTGGACAAAATATGATCAAATTAAATATTACATGGAGACCCTTGCAAAATTACAGGGAGGATGAGACCATGTGAACCGGTAGGGTAGGCGTATTCTGCATCTAAGATAAATCCATTCAAGTAATGTCACACCCACACATTGATAATTCTCTATGATTTCCTGATGGGGACCATAAAACAAGCCCACAGTCTTCATCCTCCTGCATCTTTCGAAACCCCGTGTTATAAATATAGATTGTCCATCAGAAGTCAGTCGTGAAATACGGAGCAAGCTCGTGAGTACCGATTAACTGCGACATGTAAACACCGTAGTAGGGGAAGCAGAGATGTTGATATCAAGAAAGGGAAAGTTCACGATCGGAAAGTCGAAAGCGTCCCGCTTGTTGCACAGCCTAGAAATAAATCCTTCTATGTTGGTCACGTCCTAAGTAAAGAAAAGCAGCTGATTTCAAGGAGTATGCTGCCTTCTTGATTTCAAGCTCTGCAGGGTATATACGATCGATGTGGTCGATCGATTTCTTGTTATTCGAAAACAGCACATCGTCGATACCAAGTACATCGGGACGTGAAATAGAAGGACTTGGCTTATAAAATATACTTTAAACCAGGATCATCCCGAACTTGAATCACTTTCAAAAATATGCATGTGGGTTTTTTTGCATTCAAAAGCAATACATAGCAGGTTATTATATTTGACCGTATGCCAATTGAAGTGATACAAAAACTAATAGAAACAAAAATGGAAATAAATAGATAAACTCATTTGCAGGATCGAAGGTAGAAATCTTGATAGGTGACAATGTACAATGTATAACAAGCAGAGCGAAAATGTAACAAGCATTGTTCTCCTACAATCACCATTTGTGCCAATCACTCAAAATAACAACTGCCTCTAATCATTCGCTTTACCGGATAAAACTGCAAATGAGTGCCTGCTATCCTGAGGGAAACTTCGGATTCACACACTGACATCGTTCTTCCAATAAGCAGACCTCGGGAGACTTGACTGACACACAATAAACACCCGGTCTGGACCACAGTGCTCTGCACCAAATTGCATGTCCAACAATTACAATCACTGTTTAAAATACAGCACTTGCTGTAATAGCTACACATAGAACAGTAGGTAACATGATATCGTTATATAATGCATCTCCCGCGGAGACTACCTCACCACTCGATGTCACACGCCTGTTCATAAAAAAAAAAGTTTTTACACAAATTCTGTAAAAATAAATTTACTAAAACTCGATCTTACGACTGTAGGTGATGACGTGTCTAACGTGGTCGCCTGAATGACCCACGCCTCCACTTGCACGTGCATCGCCGACTGCGACTAGCGCCACCTAGTGTCACGCATTCCCGTAGGAGAAAGCAATTTCGTTCTAACTCGCGGACTCAACCGAAAGAAATTATATCTATACATCCACCATGTTATTGTTTTATTCGTTAATACATATTTACCTGTTTATTTGCCTCCTATTTTTACACAGCAGCTCTTAGTCATGATTCACACGGGAACTCTTCGGCGACGTCACTTCCGGTACCGAGCACGATTAGTCCTGACGTAGCAAACGAGTGTATCATAGCAACGACGATCTGCCAGCTAAAGTGTGCTAGCGGATTCATGACAGACCCTCAACACTGCACATTTTGTGTGTGTAAGGACGAGATGTATAACAAAAGTAAGTTACGACAGAATGCAATATGCGATTCAGTACACCACATTAAATTTTGTATTCAATATTTTGTTGATATTTAATATTTTGTCGCTTTGGATTATATAAAATCAGCTTAAAATGAGATACAACCTCACTTTCTTTTGCGTAAGGACAATCTGTATGGGTTTATGTTTTGGAATCTTTTCGTAAAGATATTAGAATTTTGAAAACATAACAATGTTCTGGATATTAAGAGTTTTATTTATTTTATTTTATATTTATTTATTTTTGGTTGTTGTTGTTAAAACATTAACTATTTTCTGTTATTTATTTATTTTTCTTCAACTGTTTAAGTATCAAAAATCAAAAAAAAAATCTGGATGCATTCAAAATACTCAACAGAAAGCAATACTCGCTTTAGGTCATCACATTTCTTTATAGCCGGGATTCCGAAGTCCGATGAGCCGACGATTCTTCTCCAAAACCCGTGCGTGGAACAAATGGACACTTGTAGAATTTTTTGTATGACTGGATACCTCCGGGGACCTAAGGACTGCCAGTACTGCGCATGTCGACATTAGAATAACAACTATCTTCCGTTTCCGGTTTCACATGATATTGCCTACGAAAAAATTGTTTGAGGAGGAGAACGTATTCAAATGCTTATCTGTGAAAGTATTTCGTTTGATGTAAAAGGGCGGAATATTTTGAATGGAAAGATGCGTGAAACTAATTTATTCATTATGTTATTAAATATTTAAAACGTTTATATAGAACTTCTTGTTATTTTTTGGTTATTGACTTGTTAAATTCTTGATGTGGAAATTACTTCAATAAAATATGTGGTAAAGTACACTTGCCAGATTTGCCGTGAAGTACTCAAAGGGAACTAACTCGTGTGACTGTAGACTTGACTGTTAAACATCCAGTCAAATGGGAGCTCGGCTCTTTGATATTTTTAAGCAGAACCGTTTCAGATCGGATTGAGATTAACAGGGAAAGCCCCTAGTGTTATATGACGCGCTTAGCGTCAACATCGATAGAAATGCCTTATCCTGTCATTGTATCGGTTTATATTTTAAAATAGATTTGAGGTAAAAAGCGAAGCGGTTTCGAGTTTTAAAGCGAGTTGAATATGCATGGTAGAGGCGCTTAAAATCGTTTTGGGATTCATTATGTCTTTTGGCTCAGACAGGATTGGTTAACAACACCGTTTCTACAAAATGAAATATTTGTTTTAGATAAGAACTGAACCGCTCTATGATTGGGTAATTTTGTAATTTTTCATATGTCACTTTATATTATATTTTCCAACTTTTTTAACGAATACATAATCTCGGTGACACAAAAATAACACCGAATCCACATATTTAAACGATATTTCGCCGAATCCACATTTTTAAACGATATTCCACTCGATACCTGAGGCGGCGACCTTCACATATATGAATATGCTATAGAAATTGCTAATACACAAGGGGACATGATAATTTGTTACAGCTTTATTTGGACATAACTAAGGTGTTCAGAGTAATTTTACACGTTTGGGAGATTTAGATCGATTGTCGGTAAAATGCCACCCCCAATGATCATATATATACGAGAAGGGAGGAAAACTCTCGATGTCGAAATGTCGACCCCACCTAACTTTCTTGCATCAAAATTAACATTTCTAGTTGATCTACGGGAAAATGTTCCTTGTTTACCTGTTTTTACGACGTTAAAGTAAGTTTCTTGTATATTATATCTTGTTGTAAAGAGATTCGGTTAAAAATACCTGAGGATGCAATCATCAAAATTTGGAAAAAAAAGATCATAAATATATTCTCCGCCTGCGGAACATTAAAAATACAGCCTTTCTAAAACATATTGAATGTCAGAATTAATCATCAAGAGGTTAAATTTGCCAACACTTTTATAATCTTTGAAAATTTCACAGAGTTGTTCCATTTGGTAAAACAGATTAATTCGCAAATCACTATATATGGGACAATCACACAAAAAGGGAACCTCTGTTTCCACAGATTGGGAACAACACGAACAACAACGTTCATTAAGGGGTGTCGGGGGCCTGAAATCGCAAATTAACCAAAATCTTATTTACTTTCATCTTATCAAATATCAAGAATATTCTTAAAGATAATCCGGCTTTAAGGGTCCCCGTCCCTCCGCCTAAAAATGTTATGAGGCATTGGTTTTTGTTCTACGGCATCGCTATTGCATAAGCAAATCATATCTGAACAATACCAATAGCCCATACCTTGCGCGAGTTTCTTCAGATTTTTTGGGAAATTATGAAATTTCGATATTTTTTTTAATTTCCATTGAACAAAATGAAACAAAATATATATTATTTGATGTAACAATGGTTTATTCGAAATATAATACAAACAACATGATAACTATGGCAATATTGTTGAACAAAACAAAAACCTGAGTAATTTTCTAACAATAATACTATAAGTAAGGCCAAACTTACCATGATAGCAAATACAAGTACACAACATGCCATACTGGTGCATAGTATTTACACGTGAAGGGTTAACACTGGGCGAATCGGGATTTTACCGGTGAAGGGTGAATATGTTTTACTTTGAATACGACGGAGACAATAGCTAAAGGTACGAACCAAGTGTGATTTCTGTAAATAACGTGACCTTTATACCTAGGCCTATACCATGTGTAATATTTTAAATATGTCCGCTTCGGTCATGGTCATCTCCTGTCCAGGTGCAGATAACCTACGATATCAGACGCACGACATTCCTCACCTGCCAAAGTAACCGATAAATAATCAACGAAATGGTCAATCCAGTCTAGTCGTTATCATCCGACAGACATTTTACAGGAGTAAAGGGCGTGTACCATTAGTGTTCTAGAGCCAGTATATATGGTTAAGTTAAGTTTAGAATTTTATAAATTATATTAATTTGTTCAATAATTTCTTATTGGTGACGTCCTGGACCCTATAGGAAGGCGGCTAGCTCTTTTCACCTGACTCCGTGGCTGAAATTATTATTAACATGAGGGAGACGGTAGCTTTTCTATTTGCTATTCTCCAAGGTAAAGTAATGTATATATTTATTTAGTCCCAGTTTCGTGAATGACTTGCAATATTACATAAGAATGCATTATTGGAGTCTAAGTAAATTTCCGTTATTTTGTGGGGTGTTTTTAAAATTTGTTTTCAAGTGGAAAAATATAGAGTTCAGGATTTTCATCGGGATAAAAAAAAACTGTTCTTGAAACATTGGCTTGTATGTTTCAGTGATATAGCACTATAAAGTCGGCATCAGTTCCGCGCTATCACAAGGAGACAAACATGAACATATCGCAGCCTCCCAAAACACACACGCATACACTACACGCATGCATCTTTCACATAGGGGAGGCCGTCCCTGAATGACCATAGCTGTTGATAGGACGTTAAACTTATACTAAACCAAACCAAACCATCCTTAAACCTGCATTTTCCACATGTTTTATGATGTTTAAGTTACATGTAATTATCTCAATCACTACAGACTTTAAACATAATCAGTATATCTTGTTCTGTATTTTGATTCCGTGTAGTATCGTCTTGGTTACACAATAACACATGTACATTTATTTACCGAAGACAAAGCTCGAGGGGAACGTGACAAACCGAGAGTGATCAAATAGTTATATTTTCCCGAAACAAGGGCAAAACTGCTGAATAAAAATAATAGCACAACAGTAAAGAATTGTAGGGATATGAACTGGTGATCTTGAGCGCAAAAGGGGAAAAAAGCAACTTTGAAAATTAAATTAAAATTGAAGTATAGCAATATAATTACATTTCCACTGAAAATTCCTCTTGAAGCATTACCTGAAGAAAATGCCATCATAGAGCTATAAACGAAATTTGATCAAAGTCATATTTAAGCTTCTCCCGCCTCGAATAACATTACACAGCCGTTGGAAGCAAACATTTTGATGACGTTAGGCTGTTCCAAGAATCTCGTTTGCACTGACGCCATAGACACTTCAATATCGAAAGTATCAGGGAATATCTGTAATTAGGTCATTACTAACTAGAATTAGAATGTTAGTTTAAGGGTTGAACGGAATTTTGTCAGTGATCATGCTGGTCTGAAGCATGAAATTTAAAAAGAAATGTCATTCAATTCTGATACATACTATCATTAATTCGGTGATTATCTCGAATACGTGTTTAAATTTCTAAATTCATAAATTAAGCGGTTTTACGAACCTGTCCCTCTGTTTCCGATGAGTCCTGAGTGGTCGGGTGGTGCAGTGGATAGCGCACATGCCTTTCACCAATGCAGTCGGGGTTCGATTCCCCGATCGGACGTGAAAAGGTATGGGATCACTTGCCCGATCACGTGTTTTTTTCCGGGTACTCGGGTTTCCTCCCTCAACATGACCCCCCGCACGCTAACATCCGGGCCAACAAGAGTGATTGATATAGGATGAAATAACTTGTTTCATAATTGTTGTAAAATAAATAAAGCTTATATCTAGTTGTATGATGCTGTGTAACACTGTACATTTTCTACATACTGTATCTGATACCAAATTAAAGGTTCAATTACCTGTGTTTTTGTTACGAACAGGATGGTTTATGAAATTATTTTTACAGTTACGAAAGGATTTTTCATGGACGGGTTTCAAGGAGGTCATTTCGGACCAGGACCAGGAGGCTTCCATTCGGATTCCTCGGGCTGTGTTAGTCTTCATCACTACTGTCCTATCTCCCCTATTTTGTGTCCGAACGGATTCGCCAAGGACACGCATGGATGTCAACTGTGTCACTGTGCCGAGTCATCAACGGGTACAGGTAAGTGACGTAATGGTGACGTCACTGACGAAAAGGCAAGCAATAGAGTCGACATGAGACAAACGGTGATCAATATGATTTTTTTTTTAAATTCAAGGCACCATGGGAAAGAAACTTTAAAACTGAAAATGCACGACTGTCGTGTAAAGATTTCGTAAAGATTATTATTGTCATATCATATTAGATTAACTATTCAAACGGTGAAATAACATTGGAATTGTGATTATAATACTGATTGACCAATTTTTACAAAGTCATTCTCCCAAAGAAGGTAAATCATGTTCAAATCGTATCAATATCATGATCATCCTCACCCCCGAGTCAATAGGATGTCATCATAAAACACCAGGTAAAGGCGTCGGAGGAGCGAGAGACAATTTGGGGGGGGGGGGGGGGGGGGGAAGGAGATAGTGGGGGGGGGGGGGGGGAGAGAGAGAATATGGACAGACTAGAGAAGGATAGACAGACAGGAGGACGGACGAGCGGAGGTGTGTATAGACACACATATAGAAACGGAGAGAAAGATACCAACAAAGACATAGAGACAGGGAGTTATTACGGAGAAAAGTACAATTTATTTTGTTACCTGATGCTTAAAACTTTTAACAGACTTTAAAAATAATCAGAAATGTCGTCAATAAAAGTTGTAACTTTCCAATTGCATGCGCACTATATCTATCGTGACGTATTTCAGCCACCCAGTTGTTTTATATGGCGTTATGTTAATGAAATAAATATTAATCATTGCGACAAGCTGTTTTTTGAGATCAACTAAATTGAAGTTGTATTCCAAATATTCCGGTGTTGCGTCATTTTGTTTTGCCGTCATGTTAATATTTGTCAATATGATGCTTGGCAATCCCATTCAAAAACGCTCAAGTGAGTAATATCAAATAATGCTGCTCCTTACTTTTTCCCATACAATATTTTAATCATCAGATGTTAAATTAAATTACCTTTTTTTTTGGAATATGAATACATTGTACATGATTTTCATAAGATTTGCTTTCAAAGCAATGCCAACATGACCCTTAAAACAAAGTATGAATTTTATTTAAACAGGTTTTATACGTCATTCAACAAAAAGGATTAGGCACAAGTTATCTCAACTTAGAGATAAATAAAGTGAATAACTGCGTTACGTTCCACCATGATTGTATGACGTCACGTTTTGTATGACGTCACTGATTTCAGATCCGGCCCAGCAAACAATACACCACCATATTCAGAATGCATGTATTCCTAGCCAGGCGAGTTGCACACTGTCGTGTGACGTATACGTCAAGGGCGGAATTGGCTGTGAATTTTGCATGTGTGACCACGCCCATCAGACCAACAGCCCTACAACCATGGCGGGTAACTATGACAACATACATCCTTAAAAGATGGATTCGTTATCAAGTCCCCTAAACAAAGTTTGCAGAATAATTGTTTTTATCCCATGTCTTCTACTTCTTCTTCTTCTTCTTTCTTCTTCGCTTTTCTCTTCTTTAACTGTGATTTTGTTTACGCGTTTTCTCAGTAACTACAAGTCGGATCCCAATGAAACTTTGGCATGCGTAGTAGTGAACGGCAATGATGTGCAAAACACCTTTGCTTTTGACACTACACATCCAAGGTGGCCGTCTGATTGGTCAAAATTTAGACATTATGTATAGTGACTTCCGTTAGGATCCTTTACGACTGTGGGCGTCGTTTGGGGGCTTTTGCTAAAGCGAGAACGGCAGCCGTTATATTCAGAATTTGTAAAGTCGGTTTTAATCAGACTATGCCATATCACATAGAAAGTCAGGGCATATAGTTTACTCTGTCATACTTGATATCCTAGTCCATATTTTGTCACTTATTCTGAAGATTTAAAAATCAAATTGTCATGCATGCAATTAAATATATGGGATCTTTTATGCCTTTCCATTTTATATGAATACGAGTCTAAGAAGTATTCAATGAAGTGAACCTCTGGAAAACTACGATAGTATAACAAACAAAATCGTTTCATAAATATTATAAAAAATGGAAATGATTTTAAGATCCTTTATATCATATAATTTACATTTTTGCGACTAATTCACAAAGCACGCTTCTCCGTGTTACATGAATTAATGAAGCCTAAAATTTCAAATTAAAAGAAAATGAATTTAAATATTTTTTCTGCATTATATTTACATTTGCGCTGCAATCCGCAATATGAATTTTACTAGCAGAAACTGTTTGAGAACAGATAAATAAGATTAAACAATTGTTCTATAGTAAAAATGTAAATATATTGATTGAACGTCGTTTTTTTTATAATTTTATGCCGGTTGAACGCAAATCGGTTACATCCATATTGCATGAAACCAGGCCTTCATGTTTAATCCATATGATGTAACCGATTTGCGTGCATGTCGGCATGAAAATTAAAAAAACGCCGTTCAACCCCTATATATAAAAACAAAAACTCTCGTGACGTAACATGTAGTTTATTTATGACGTCATAGATTAATATTGTTCAACGGTAGTCTTGTTGCTTCGCTTCGGATAACATGGAGAATGCCCCTGCGCCAAACGCTCAAATGATTACGGTTACTTATTGGCGCCAATTCTATCTATAAAGGACGACGCATATACAAAACACAGTAAATAACTTAATTATTTAAGAACAAATAACTTAAATCAAACAATTGTTCTATGGTAAAAATGTAAATATATGGATTGAAAGGCGTTTTAATTCCTTTGAAAGTAGACTTGGGCTTTTGAGAATTTAAAAAACGCCGTTCAAACCCCATGTGTATGTTCTGGAGGTCTGTGACGTCATTGTTACTTGATGACGTTACAATGCGTCATATAAATTGAGTGTATATACCTAAATATAACATTGATATGTTTACTGAAATAATAATATACCAATATCATGATCAAACTAGTCTACATACCTTGATAACATTACGCAGTATCCCTTTGGGTGGGCTGTCTCAAGGCTTCTACCTCAGAACAAAGAGATATTTTTTAATGGGTTTTCAATGCACGTGTAGCGGAACTGGACTGGGTCGGGTCACCGGCGACCATGTAGTTCAATTGGTAGAGCATCCGTCTAGAGATCGAAAGGTTCCGGGTTCGAACCCCGGCCTGGCCGTGCATTTTTCCTCTTCTGTTACATTTGGCGCCCAACGAAATATATCCACAGAAGGTGGTATAGGGTCTCGTGTGTCTTCGGGGTCGAAGGAGGGAGGAATGTAGCGGAACTGGACCGGGTCGATAGTCGGCGACCAGGTAACTCATTTGGTAGAGCATCCGTCCAGAGATCGGAAGGTTCCGGGTTCGAACCCCGGTCTGGCCGTGCATTTTTCCTCTTCTGTTACATTTTGCGCCCAACGAAATATATCCACAGAAGTTGGTATAGGGTCTCGTGTGTCTTCGGGGTCGAAGGAGGGAGGAATGTAGCGGAACTGGACCGGGTCGATAGTCGGCGACCAGGTAACTCATTTGGTAGAGCATCCGTCCAGAGATCGGAAGGTCCCGGATTCGAACCCCGGTCTGGCCGTGCATTTTTCCTCTCCTGTTACAGTACGCATGCTAATCACCGGAATTGCATAATAGACATATTCTGTTGACGTTTTCAGCAACAACAACGACTGCACCAGCATCAACTACCATGAAACGTCCAACAACAGAGCTCCAAACTTCCACCGAAAAAGCAACGACTGCGTCCCACCACTGCGCACTAGCTATCCAGATCTGTACAGCTCAGTGTGGAGGGAAGTATCTGGTGGACCCCCACGACTGTACATACTGTGTGTGTAAGGCCCAGATTGGCTAAGGTGAGACAATGCATGACATGCGCACTGCCAAGGTCATCAAATGTCTAAGGTCAAGGTCATTACATATTTAGGGTCAAGGTCCTCGCCTATCTCGTGTGATGTCACCACATATCTGGTTTTTAGATCTTACAATAAACTGTTTTAATCTGTAGGTCATCACACGCGTAGTTCAATGTCACCTGTCGATTGCTAAGAGCATCATATGTCTTATAAAATATTTAAATGAGGCCAATTGCAAGGTCAGCACGTGTATAAACTCAAGATCAACAATATATCTGACAACAAAATTATCACAACACTATCATTTAGGTCGATGTTACATACTGTCAGTCATTACAAGACTGTTTTCCGAAATAGTGTTACGATGTGTAAACCGCTCTCCACGAGGCCACACATATCTCAACGCCAGGTGGTTATTACAATCGGGAACCGTCGGCACTTTCCGTGAACGAGTAAAGATGTTCTCGCTTACGGAAATTGCCGACGATATCCGATCGGTGATAATTATATCTAACTTTATTTTACATTTTCCATTTCAGGTAACATGGCCTTCAAATGTGCGACTCTAAAGAGACAAGTTACCGGTAGAGACGTACATTTTTTTTTGTTATAACACATATTTTGTAAATACAATTAATAAACCGTTCAACTATTGTGTTTTATATTGTGCATTGATGAATTAAAGAAGTTTTGCGCCTACAAAATCATAAAAGTTGATATCAATAAGTTGAACAGTCACAAACATGTTACTCATGATATGAGCCAATGTTAGACTTTCTCATGATATTAGCATCTGTTTGACTTTCACATGACATTAGCCTATGTTAGACTTTCTCATGACATTAGCCTATGTTAGACTTTCTCATGATATTAGCATGTGTTTGACTTTCACATGACATTAGCCTATGTTAGACTAGCCAATGTTAGACTTTCTTATGACATTAGCCTATGTAAGACTTTATTATGACATTAGCCAATGTTAGACTTTCTCATGACATTAGCCAATGTTAAACTTTTCATGACATTAGCCAATGTTAGACTTTCTTATGACATTAGCCTATGTGAGACTTTCACATGACATTAGCCTATGTTAGACTTTCTCATGACATTAGCCAATGTTAAACTTTCTCATGACATTAGCCTATGTAAGACTTTATTATGACATTAGCCAATGTTAGACTTTCACATGACATTAGCCTATGTTAGATTAGCCAATGTTAGACTTTCTCATGACATTAGCCAATGTTAGACTTTCTCATGACATTAGCCAATGTTAGACTTTCTCATGACATTAGCCAATGTTAGACTTTCTCATGACATTAGCCAATGTTAGACTTTCTCATGACATTAGCCAATGTTAGACTTTCTCATGACATTAGCCAATGTTAGACTTTCTCATGACATTAGCCAATGTTAGACTTTCTCATGACATTAGCCAATGTTAGACTTTCTCATGACATTAGCCAATGTTAGACTCTCACATGACATTAGCCTATGTTAGAATAGCCAATGTTAGACTTTCTCATGACATTGGCCAATGTTAGACTTTCTCATGACATTAGCCAATGTTAGACTTTCTCATGACATTAGCCTATGTTAGATTTTTACATGACATTAGCCAATGTTAGACTTTCCCATGATATTAGCCTATGTTAGACTTTCACATGACATGAGCCTATGTTAGACCCTCTCATGATATTAGCCTATGTTAGACTTTCACATAACATTAGCCAATGTTAGAATTGTTCATGACATTATCCTATGTTATACTTTTTCATGACATTAGCCTATGTTAGACTTTCTCATGACATGAGCCTATATTAGACTTTCTCATGACATTAGTCCATGTTAGACTTTCCCATGACCTTAGCCTATGCTAGACTTTCTCATGACATTAGCCCATGTTAGACTTTTTCATGACATTAGCCAATGTTAGACTTTCTCATGACATTAGCCTATGTAAGACTTTCTCATGACATTAGCTAATGTTAGACTTTCTCATGACATTAGCCAATGTTAGACTTTCTCGTGACATTAGCCAATGTTAGACTTTCTCATGACATTAGCCTATGTTAGACTTTCTCATGATATTAGCCTATGTTAGACTTTCACATGACATTAGCCTTTGTTAGACTTTCACATGACATTAGCCTATGTTAGACTTTCACATGAAACATGACATTAGCCTATGCTAGACTTTCTCATGACATTAGCCTATGTAAGACTTTCTCGTGACATTAGCCTATGTAAGACTTTCTCGTGACATTAGCCAATGTTAGACTTTCTCATGACATTAGCCAATGTTAGACTCTCACATGACATTAGCCTATGTTAGAATAGCCAATGTTAGACTTTCTCATGACATTGGCCAATGTTAGACTTTCTCATGACATTAGCCAATGTTAGACTTTCTCGGGACATAAGCCAATGTTAGACTTTCTCATGACATTAGCCTATGCTAGACTTTCTCATGACATTAGCCTATGCTAGACTTTCTCATGACATTAGCCTAGGTTAGACTTTCACATGACATTAGCCTATGTTAGACTTTCACATGACCTTAGCCTATGCTAGACTTTCTCATGACATTAGCCTATGTTTGACTTTCTCATGACATTAGCCTATGTTAGACTTTCTCATGACATTATCCTATGTTAGAGTTTCACATGACCTTAGCCTATGCTAGACTTTCTCATGACATTAGCCTATGTTAGACTTTCTCATGACATCAGCCCATGTTAGACTTTCTCATGACATTAGCCTATGTTAGACTTTCACATGACATTAGCCTATGTTAGACTTTCTCATGACATTATCCTATGTTAGAGTTTCACATGACCTTAGCCTATGCTAGACTTTCTCATGACATTAGCCTATGTTAGACTTTCACATGACATTAGCCTATGTTAGCCTTTCTCATGACATTAGCCTATGTTTGACTTTCTCATGACATTAGTCCATGTTAGACTTTCTCATGACATTAGCCTATGTGAAACTTTCTCATGACATTAGCCCATGTTAGACTTTCTCATGACATCAGCCTATGCTAGACTTTCACATGACATTAGCCTATGTTAGACTTTCTCATGACATTAGCCCATGTTAGACTTTTTCATGACATTAGCCTATATTAGACTTTTTCATGACATTAGCCAATGTTAGACTTTCACATGACATTAGCCTATGTTAGACTTTCACATGACATTAGCCAATGTTATAATTTCTCATGACATTAGCCTATGTTAGACTTTCACATGACGTTAGCCTATGTTAGACTTTCACATGACATTAGCCTATGTTAGACTTCCACATGACATTAGCCTTTGTTAGACTTCCACATGACATTAGCGTATGTTAGACTTCTCATGATATTGGCCTATGTTAGACTTTCACATGACATTAGCCAATGTTAGACTTTCACATGACATTAGCCAATGTTATAATTTCTCATGACATTAGCCTATGTTAGACTTTCACATGACATTAGCCTATGTTAGACTTTCACATGACGTTAGCCTATGTTAGACTTTCACATGACATTAGCCTTTGTAAGACTTTCACATGACATTAGCCTATGTTAGACTTTCACATGACATTAGCCTATGTTAGACTTTTACATGACATTAGCCTATGTTAGAGTTTCACATGACCTTAGCCTATGCTAGACTTTTTCATGACATTAGCCTATGTTAGACTTTCTCATGACATTAGCCAATGTTAGACTTTCACATGGCATTAGCCTATGCTAGACTTTCTCATGACATTAGCCTATGTTAGACTTTGTCATGACAGTAGTCCGTGTTATACTTTCTCATGACATTAGCCTATGTTAGACTTTCTCATGACATTAGTCCGTGTTAGACTTTCTCATGACATTAGCCTATGTTAGACTTTTTCATGACATTAACCTATATTAGACTTTCTCATGACATTAGCCTATTGTGGCAGATATTTATTGTACATAGGATTAAGCTCGCCTTCTAGCTTCGAACTACATGGAATTTCCCTTTAGCTCAGTGGTAGAACGTCCGACTAGGAACCTGGAGATCGAGGGTTCGATGCCCGGTGGAAGCACACTATTCTCTTTCCTGTTACAGTATGTTAGACTTAGAGACTTAAGGATCCTCGTACCACTATATAACGGAAACTGTATCGATGAATTGAAAAACAGTTTTACCGGCATGACTATAGCTTTGATAACACATATATCTCAAAAAGTAACTAAAAAGTTATGAGCCAAATAATACTGCTAGTCACGATTTTAACGGGTAATCATAAATGGGGATACTTTTTGTACAAAAAAAACATACAGTTGAAGTGGTATGCTTGAAGTAGGACAGTGGTCATTCATGAAATATAGTTGGTAAAAAAAGTAAACAAAACTTTGAATTTACAGTTGTGGGACCGCATAACGCACCAAAAATTGCGTGCGCACATCGTGCATACATGTTATATTTTACAATGCGTGTTACACAGCATTACCGTTAGACCATCAAGAATGGGTTTAGCTTCCAGGTAACAGAACAGGTAAATAACATGTTTATGATTAACCGGAGTTTTACCTGACCCGTGCCTTACAAAGAGAGTTGATATGCGATATCGTATGACCGTTATGGACGCACAACAGGACGTTAAGAAAAGAAAAACGCACTTTGGCTAAAAGTGAATATTATCGTTATATACCTCACATATGTAATTCAGGTATATTTCGAATTCTAAGAAAAGCATGACATCGCTGAAAACGAATTATTACTTTTACTTCTGTCTGTCTGTATAATAGTAGTATGATTGCTGATGTTGTACAACATATATGTATTATTAAACTTAATCAATAAGTGGTACATAAGTGGTAGATTGACTCAGCACTAATGTAATCCCATTCAAGGTAACATTGGCTCATCTCCGTCAGTATGTGTCTGTTAAGTTAAATTTAACTGAAGTTAATTTTTCTTGTACTATTATGTTTATGATGTATTTTATACATACATGTTTATGTTACTCTCTGTGTTCGGTATGCTTGTCATGCGAGATCACTCTCCAAATACGTATGCAATAGGTATGTTTTGTAACCATGTATACCTTGGCATTCTGTCGTTAAGTAAAGAAAAACATACTTTGGCTAAAAGCGAATGCTATCGTTAAACACCTTTCATATGTATTTCATGTATCATTTCGAATGCAAAGAAAAGCATGCCTAGACTGAAAATTAATTATTACTTATACTTCTGTGTGTGTGTGTGTGTGTGTGTGTGTGTGCACGTGTGTGTCTGTCTGTCTGTGTCTGTATGTCTGTCTGTCTGTATAATACAAGTATTATTGCTAATGGTGTAAAATGTATATTCATTAAACTTAGTAACAATTGGCATTTATGTAATCGCAATCAAGATAGCATTGCCGAGGAGTTACCTCCCGTCTCTGATAGTATGTTGTTTGTGTATCGTATACAGACATGTATATGTTACTTTCTGTGTTCTGTATGCATGTCATGAGAGATCACTCTCCTCATATGTATGTAATATTATGTATTATATTTATGTATGCCTATGGGTCGTAAGGCCCCCGGAATAAACTTGAATTGAATTGAATTGTTATTTGC